AACACAGTGCCGACGCAAGCAAATATTATTATTGTTATTATTATATTATCGATGTAATTGAAACTGTATCATTAGTCATAATCATCATTACCACCATTGTTATTGCTTTTGTTATTATTAGTAGCGTTGCATTACTGCTGCTGACACCAACAACACTACTGTTACCATTGTTATTATTAACATGATCACAATCAGCTTTCCGGTTATTGTTTTCAGTGCTAGGGTTATCAACACTATTAGCATTAAAATTACCAGCAACAACATTCTACAACATTCATTATGAATGGTACATTCAGACACTTAATAATAAGAACACATTACAAAAATGAATAAACAAACTATCATAGAAAGTGAAGTTTTTATAAAATCGCACACTACAGATCAGTAGTACATGCTGACGTTCCAGAAAGAACAACTATCGGCGTTTGAAATCTATCTAGCTCGATACTTCTTCTCCATACATGCTGGAACTGAACAAAAATATTTTGGGTTATTGAGATAACGTTTCAGCTTAAAGCAACGAGTAGTCATTGAAGTACAATAATCTGCTGGTGATGAACATGCATTTTCATATGATTACGATTCAACAGATTTTCATTCTTTTCAAGCAGTGTTCAATCATTCCATCTCTGTTGACTGTTTCTGATTGCTCTTATTCTTTTCCAAATGGTCTCTGTTAAAGCAATCGTAAGAATGCAATATCAGAGAATGCTGAAAGGAGTTCAATACATCGATCGCCTCAAGTGCCTAGTGTTTTGGGCTGCCAATCACAAAGCATTGCGATATCGAGGTTCAAACGGTTATCTAAAGGACAACGAAGAAACAATATTGTCACCGATAGGGAAGTAACAATAATTTCGCTACAATTCTTATTCAAGATAGAAACTGCTTTATAATCCACTTCGGTGGCAAATCTTGCCTCCAATTTTGTAGTGGCTTTTCAAGTGATGGAATCAGTTATCATTTATAGTGAACATCAGTGTCATCAACTAAGCCATACGATTAAAAGTTATGCGTAGTACACCATTTTATTCATATGTATTCACAATGTTACAATATACAGAACAAGAGAAGAGTCCTTTGAATAAGTATTCTCGAGTACAGTCTAGAACAGGAACATTAGCTTGTCTACTGTTACAAATCACAAACAACATTGCTTTGTCCGGCATTTTATAGAAAATTTTTCTTTCGATTCATTTTGCTATTCGCTATCGAAAGGCAGTAAAATGAGCAAATTCAACTTTTTTACAGAACTCCGATAGGATAACCATCCATTTTACAAAACATCAACATTAATCATATTATATCATGGTATAGTTGGTAAATATTTCACTTTCACAACAACTGAAGATGGTTGAAGATTTCTTCTGAGTTCCGTGCAACGTTTAAGCCAAATTTCTTCTCTTATCTGAAATTCACTAATATTTCCTTGATATGAATTGCCTTCTGAAACCTCAAATGCATGCAATTATTACAACAGTAAGCAAATTAAATCACTTAAATTGAACTTACCAACGTAATAATGTTTACTTAGAAAGATAAGCGTTAATGTGTTCAGTCTATCTTCCATGATGTCCCCCGTGGGGATGAGAATCGGGTCTTGATGACGGATGGTAATCGGGTTTTGAGGAACCTGGGTAGAAGGAGCTACCGTGTCCTCCTATCGACCAACCACCATTATTTGGCGGGTTGTAGTCGGGTTTTGAGGACCCTGAGTTGAAAGAGCCACCGTGTCCACCTGACGACCCACCATGGTACGGTGCTTTTTCGCGTTTTGCTCTCTGACCAGTCTCACCACCTTCTCCAACTATTGATGCTTCATCAGCACTAACGGGTTCTCCTGTTCCCTTTTCCCCGATTCTTCTCCCGCCTACCTCACGATGTCTCACGAAACCATCGTGCAATGCTCTTGTAATTTTAAGAGACCGAAAAACTTCATGAGCTCGACGATCAGCCAAGTCTTTTTCACAGCCATCTTCGCTAATCGGATCGCATTCCGTTAAGGTTATTGAGATAACCAATAATGCAACTGTCTTTAGCAAGGTCGACATCTTCAATATCGCACACTGAAACGCTGAATGGTTTGGCATAAATTTTATGAAATGAAACCTATCGAAAACTAAGAAAACTTTGTCAACACGCTAAACTCAACTTTTTATTTACAGTTGCTATCCCTGCATAATATGTAGAAATAGAAATCGAAAAAATAATCAGCAACGATACGGAATCCTTCGGGATTTGGATGAAATTTCGAGCATAGCTTGGTCAGTAATGACACAAGGTATTAATCGAAATGGTACACTCATATTACTCATAGGAAAGCGCAAAAAAATATCCGAAATCTGGTGGATTCATCAACTGCTGTGTGCAGTAACTAAAATTCAAACTCGTGAGCTCATTTATTTATTCACAATACAGATGGAATTTTAGAACGGTTTCATCAGACACCAGTTGTTCGAGTGTACTGATTTCAGTGGCTTATAGGAGTTATCGAATTCAACACCGCCCATCCGAAGCTAATAACGAGTTTTTGCTTGAGACACTGAATGTGACCGATCGTTTTTGATGCCATAATTTCATTCACTCACCTTATATTGGAGAGATCTCCTCTGCTAACAACTGCCTCATTTGAGCGGTGAACCAAACAGACGAGCGTCAATAAAGCAAAGTCAAATACGTATCAAACAATTTTGCTATGAACAGTTAGGTCAGATAGGAAAATTGAAATTTGAATTCTAAAAGAAATTCAGTCGTAACATCAATTCAATCGTAACAATACTATCAATTTCATGTAAATATTTTTTCAATCAGTTTATTCACATAATCAATCAGCGATTACATTTAATTACGAGTTTATAATTAACTGCTTTCTGTTGCCATCAATGTCACATTCTTCTTTCCTTAACGTTCTCCGTTCCGCACAGCTAACGAAATCAGTGCACTAAATAAGTGATTCTGGGTCAAATGGATTCTAGAAGCGGTACTCACAACATTTCCGTGTTGCAACACCTGATATCATTCAAATGATTGAATGACAAAGATACGAGGAAGTCGTATGATTTGTATCACACCATAAAGAAGTTCGCGTTCAAAATGTGCGGACGATTTACCAAATAGAAACGTTTGCAAATTTTAAAAAAATTCTCTTCAATGGGAGTTTTATTAGCGATATAGTTAAGCAATTAGTTTTTATGCACATAATTCATCATCAATTAATCAGTCAGATCATCACTTAGGCACATAATTCTCTTGAATGGAATTTTAATTTGTTGGTCCAGGTGGTGCTACTATACCCACACCACTATTACCTCCATTGCCTCCCCATCCTCCTCCTTGACTACCCTGACCTCCCCGTCCTCCTCCTTGACCACCCTGACCTCCCCATCCCCCTCCTTGACCACCCTGACCTCCCCGTCCTCCTCCTTGACTACCCTGACCTCCCCATCCTCCTCCTTGACTGCCCTGACCTCCCCGTCCTCCTCCTCGACCACCCTGACCTCCCCATCCCCCTCCTTGACCACCCTGACCTCTCCATCCTCCTCCTTGACCACCCTGACCTCCCCGTCCTCCTCCTTGACCACCCTGCCCTCCCCATCCTCCTCCTTGACCACCCTGACCTCTCCATCCTCCTCCTTGACCACCCTGGCCTCCCCAACCCCCATGACCTCCACCTCCTTGACCCCCACCTCTATGACCACCACCGCCAGGATTCCAGCCTCCTCCACCTCCGTGATGATGATTTGGATTGATCAAGTTTCTCAACCATCCGTTTCCAGGACTCATTCCGTTACCTCCTAGCAGGCCGTTCATCCAGCTCGCATCAATATGCACGATGCAAATCGCTCCGATCGTGCACAATAACAAATGCGTCGTTGTCTTCATTTCACCTGTAAGTTATCAGATCTCTCCTCAAATCACTTATACTGTAATTCATCATTAGCACACATATTCAACCTTCGTAACTTTTACAAGCATGAAACATTCGTTGAAGCATAGTGGTATGAAAATGTTGTTGACATTTTCAAAGCTTGACCGGCGTGAACAAATTCGGCTTGACTAAGGATTCGATAGCTTAACACACTCAACAATATCAACGTTATACAATCATTTCGGTTTCATCATGCGCAAATCTGCTTTTTTTTCCCCGTAGGAAGTTTGTCAGTTGCTGGCTGACTCCCTCAACAGTAATTGATTTTGCTTAGTTTAAAGTCTGCTTAAAGGCTGTTGGATTGAACTGGATCGTGCCCAAATAGATGAGATCGACACATCCAAGGTAACATATCTACATACAGCATCATGCTTCACCGTGTTAATGGAGTACCATTCAGTAAGACACAAACAGATAATGGTGCTTTTTGATGCACAGCCACCGGAAGATTCCGATTTTCGATCAATTTGTTGGCAGCAGGGAATTGGAAGAATCTCTTACAATCACAGCTTCTCGACCATTTTGATGGCACTTTTTCAACAGAATATAAGTCTTGAAATCGGTTTGATGCGAAGCAACAACTCAAAATTTTAGAAAATTATTCTAACCTGTTAGAGTACTTTGACGTATGCAGCAGCTTCGTTCCAGTGATAATGGCGATACTGCGGCGCTTTAGTTAATTGAGCAAAGGAAATGAAAAGGTGAAAGACTTGATGTAACGCAATAAAAGAGGTGTATGTTATAGTAGTGAGCAATTTTAAAAGGCGGAGCGCACTGACATCATGCGGGTTGGTTGAAAAAGCAAAAAGTAATAACAAATTAATAATGATAATAACAGAAAAAAAA